CTGGAGCTTTCAGCTCAGGGTGTCTCTGCTTCAGGTGGGCTTCATTTACTTCTACCTCTTCAGTGCATTGGCTGCCTTGGAAGAAATGAAATTGCAGCAAAGTGAAGTTCAGCACTAGGATTGCCAGAGGCGAGTGGTGGGTTACAGGTCTGGTGGGCTGCCAACAGCTGATCACCTCCCTCATTGGTGGGACACCATCTAGAAAGGCACAGAAACAAGGCTGAGTCCCATAGGGAGGGAGCAGAGCCCAAGACACAGAGAGATGGAGACTGACACCAGGTGGGGCTCAGGGGACAGAGCTGGGAACATGCACTCTGCAGACAGCAGAGACCCGAACCTCACCTTGGCCACCACCGCTGCCACAATCCCCAGCAGGGCCAAGATAAGCAGTCCAATTCGGCCCTTGTTAAATCGCTTCAAGACAAAGAACTTGGTCCAATCCACCTTCTTCTGGCTGCCAGGTGGGTACCGGAGTTTGTTCATACCCTCCATCTTCAGGTCCTTGATCAAGCAGGCACGGCGGTGGGAGAAGGTCTCAAAGCTGTGCTTGCCATGGTAGGCGCCCATCCCACTGTTACCTGAGACACAACCCACCCAGGTCACACCATGCATGGTGACAGCTGCATTTCTTAAATTCTGTTTGACAGCCCCCAGGACACAGGGAAAGCTCGGTCATGGTGCTGCTCACCCCTGGAGCAGCTGCTCTGCTCCCCAAGACCAGAGAAGCAAAGATGACCCAGAAATAAGTGAGAACCTGCTCACTGCCTTGAACTGGTGCTCAGGCTGGTTGTGTGCACCTACCCTTGAAATGTTAAGAGCACCAGTCCTCTCCTCTCCAGGGCCAGTCCTGCTTCTCCCACAAAATTTACAGTGGGGTCAGGGACAGGAGGAACAAGGTCTATTATTTCAAGCAGTGGGACATCAGGAGGACATTCAGCAACCTACCATCAGAAAGGCCCAAGATCTCAACCCTCTACCCACAGCCAGGTTGCCTCTGCCACAAAACCATGAGCCTGACAGTGACTGTGGAAACTCAACCAGCTGCTTTGCCACAGGCAACTTCATCCCACACACTGGCACAGGGGAACCGGAGCTGTGGACGGAGGTGTCAGAGGGTTTTCCTCTCCCACTGGCACCAACACTGCTCCAACCACTAACGAGCCTTTTTAAACTCACCAGTGAAAATAATATTAATGGGAAAATGCAGCTGAAAGTTCCTGAATTGCTAAACACACGACAGCACCTGGGTCCAGAGGCTGCTGCTGGGACACTGAAACCAGGCATGTGGGACAGAGCAGGGACTCACCCACGCCACCAAAGGGCAGATCCACAACTGCATAGTGCATGAGGACGTCGTTGGCTGTCACGCCACCGCTGGAGGTCTCCGATATCACCCGTCTGATCAGCTACGTGGAATGAGAGACAGCACAGACCACAGGGAAAGTCAAGACGGGCCACCAACACCATGGCATTTACCAGAGCAGCTGGGTGCCAAGGTGATTCTTGCATCTCCGTTTTTGGGGTCAACAGTCTATGCCTTGCTCCTTGAGAGCAGCTGGGTTTACATTACTGAAGCACAAGATCTGCCCAGCTGGAACAGCCACGAAATGAAAAGGTTCTGTCTCAGCAGGACAGGTTGAAGGTGGTGGTGCATCAGCTGAAGGGCTCCTCAGCCCACTCACCCAAACCACCTAGGGCTGTTGTGTCAGCACTAAGCCCTGACCTACATTCCTGAGCTGGCATGACAGAGCTGGAGCGGGGGCAGGAGACATGTAAGGAACGAGCCTCCACCAGCGTGGGATGGATGGCTGAGGTGCACAGGGAGTTGTGCAAACCCAGAGTCCTTCAACAGAAGACTGGGAGACTGCAGCAGCTCTAAGGACACTTGTGGTTCCACGCGAGACAAATGTTGTGATTCACATGCAAAGAGGAGCTGACATGGACCTGGGGGAGCCATGTCTGGGACCAGCCACATTCAGGATGAAACTGCACAGAGACGCTTCTGAGGAGAGCACAGGTTAGACTCACCTTCTTGTTGTTGGAGAAGACGTACAGGGCAAGGGGCTTCTCCCGACCGTTGATGAACTCAATGGCTTCGTCCACACTCTTCACAGGCAGAATGGGAAGGACTGGTCCAAAGATCTCCTCCTCCATCACCTTTGACTCCGGAGAAACATCAGTGAGGATAGTCGGTGCTGAGGCAAACAGGAGGGCAGGAGACAGCATGAGCAGGACAGAAGATGTGGTCCATCACCTTGTCCTGGGCACCAGCTGTGTGCAACACACGCCAAGCAAGGCACAGACACACACAGCCCCCAAAAACACCCGCTACCACCTCCCCAACCCCACAGCTGCCAGAAGCACCTATGAAACAGGAGTCCTCATCAGTCTGTCCCCCGTAAGCGATCTTCTGCCCTTCCAGCAGGCCCAGCACCCTCCTGAAGTGACGCTTGTTGACGATCCTTTCGTAATCTGGAGACGACTTCACATCTTCCCCGTAGAATTCCTGCCACAGGGCACAGCAGAACCAAAGTGCTCAGCACACCCTCACAACAGCCACAGCTCCAGGGCTGCAGCTCCAGAAACTCAGACCCGGGCTGTAACAGGGACAACTCCCACAGCACAAGGAACTCCCTGCTCACCTGCAGAGTCGCCTTGATGTTCTCCACCACCTTGCTCTGGATGGACGGGTCGCAGAGGATGTAGTCCGGGGCGATGCAGGTTTGCCCACAGTTCATGTACTTCCCCCACGTTATCCTCCTGTGGGGGAAAGGGAGACGGTTTCTCCACGGTCAGTCCCTTCCAGATCCCACAGCCTGGCCAACCATGCCTGAGCGACTCCCACAGTCTAGGACAATGGCCCACCGAGGGCTTCAACAGCCTGACCTGCAGGCGACGGCCAGGTCACAGTCCTTGTCGATGTAGCAGGGGCTCTTCCCGCCCAGCTCCAGGGTGACGGGTGTCAGGTGCTTGGCAGCTGCTGCCATCACGATTTTGCCCACTGTGGAGTTGCAGGTGTAGAGGATGTGATCAAATCTCTGGCTCAGCAGCTCTGTTGTCTCAGGTACTCCTCCCGTGACCACGGGGTACAGCTCCTGCGGGGCAAACAAGGGCCTCACAGTTACTTTGATTTCAAGCACATAATGCAGAGCAGCACCTCTGTCTGGGGCAGACTCCTTGTGAGCTACGAGGATCTGGACAAAGGACAGCGGTTACAGAGATAAGCTCTGCTCCTTCCCCTGAAATGAAGTTTCACTTGCCACATTATCTATCCCACATGAACTAAAACAAATGGAGGTCAAGGCCAGGGCTGAGTCAGGCTGTGGGTCTCCACCCACATATTAGACCAAGGACACACACAAGTGCGGTGTTCTCCCCAGGGCTGTCTCCTCCTTCATCTCTCATCCCCCGCCTAGGGAATGCACCAGCTCCCTGGAGGAAATTGCCCAGGGGGGCTGTGCTGTCAGAGCAACAGCCTCAAGTGGCGCAGTGCAACCAACGTCAGAACTGCCCATCGAGCAGAGGACAAAAACCACATCCTGCTCTGGGCGCAGCTGGGCAGGACGTGAAAAGCTGGGACGTACTGCTGCTGAACAAACACCCAGTTCTCAGGAAGTGGCAGGCACAGCAGCACCCAACACAAGCGCACGGTCACCCAGGGGCATCTCCAGCTCGGTGTCCAAAAGAGCAGTCATGGCATGGCGATGAACGTCAAAAACGCCATCATGTTGCAGCAACGCTACACAGGTACATTAGGTGACACAAACACAGGAGAATATGTCAATGTGCCTTTGAAATTTAAGAGCTATTTATCCCTTCCTCTATCTCCTGCTTACACCCCTTTGGAGAGAGCAGGCAACTGATTTGACTTTAACCTGCAGACGCCCTTTGAAAGCTTTGAAAAAAGATATTTAATGGAGCTGCACTCACCTGATCCAGGTACCGGGGCAGGAGATCAGCCAGCAGCTGAGCCGTGTTCTCGCTGA